ACACACACACACACACACACACCCACACACACCCTCCCACCCACCCACACACCCAACACACACTAGTCTGGCGTTGACAGGGTAGACTTTCAATCCACACTGACCAGCAATTTGGCACGCTAGAGTGGACAGTCGCGTCCGTGTGTGTCCCCAATCCCTGGTCCCTGGTCCCTGGTTGCTGCCGGCACTGGTCACTCGTCACTGGTCACTCGTCACTGGTCACTCGTCACTGGTCACTCGTCACTGGACACAGCACACTGACTGACCGCTAACTGCGTTCTGAGTGGTTGTACATGTTAGTTATGACCCGTGTGTTTGATCAGGGCCAGCTGGGGTAGGCCTACCCAGGGGTGTGTCCGATTCGAGGGAGGGAAACGGCGGTTATAAATTAATGGAAGAGAGGTTTATATAACTGTTTTTTACAATAAGACCTGGGTCGGGTTCCAAGCAGGAAATGTTATCTATCTATCTATCTATCTATCTATCTATCTATCTATCTATCTATCTATCTATCTATCTATCTATCTATCTATCTTTCTATCTATCTATTGTGCTTTCAATCATCCCTTTCCATTTAAAACTGCGTTCTGAGTGGTTGTACAGGTTAGTTATGACCCGTGTGTTTGATCAGGGCCAGCTGGGGTAGGCCTACCCAGGGGTGTGTACGAGGGAAGGAAAGGAGGGGGAGGGGTATTATAGATGGTCGCTTTTAAGCACAAGGGGGCTATCCCGAAAAATGCCGTTTTGAGAAAATCGAAGGTAATTTTTTGCCCCTTGTTCAGTTTCTTTAAAAGACAAGGAAAGCTTTCTCTATATCTAAACAAATATACACACCAATGAAACCAAACTTCTCCTCCAAATTATCTATCTATCTAATGCGCTTTCAACCATTCCCTTACATTTAAAACATTTTCAAAAGTCGCCATAACTGAAACAGATTTAAAAAGTCACACAAAACACACAATAAATAGATGATAAAAGAACGAAAGACAGAAAGAAAGAAAGAAAACAAAACAAAAATAAAAGCAAAAGAGTAACAAAGAAAAAGAAAATGAACAACAGCTACAACAATACAAGGGAAAAAAACAACAACGAAAAAAGACCCCTTCCAAAAAATAAATAAAA